GGGGCCGCCCAGCGGTTCTGCAGCTCAGATTGCAGGAGCTGCTGGCAGCTAAAGTGGGGTGGGGTCTAGAACAACCCTCAGAGTATTGGGGGTGGGCTCCAGGACGCTCATGGGGGCAGCACATGTTGTAGGCTCTGCTAACAGCAGGTACCCTGGGTGTCAGTGGGTGAGGCACCCATGCTGTGTGCCTCAGTGACCCCATCTCTAAAATGGGGACAACCACAGAGTAGCGCCTGCTGCTCTGACCACGGCATGGGGTTGTCATGAAGATCGGCTGAGTTAATCTACATGAACAGCCTGCGAACACAGCGGGTTTGAAGCTGGGTACAGTTGCAAAGACATCGGAGCGCCCATACTCAGGGGGGCAGACACTGCAAAACCCTGGATGGTGGGCTTCCAGACCTGCCCTCCCAGACCTGTCAGGCTCCCAAGAAAAGCCAGGTGGGCGCTGGGCGCAGGAGGGGGGCTCAGGCCCGCCCTTGCTGATGCCGAGGAAGCTCAGCACACTTATGGGTCATGAGTTGAGGCGGCAGCTGGGGAGCAAGATTCTGGCTGCGCATGTCCCTCCTGGAAGGACACTCCGCCCAGTGCAGCCCCCCAGCTCCGCCTGCACCACTGGGGCTCAGAGTGCCTGCTGAGTGCCAGCAGCCCTGCTCAGCCACGAAGAGGCCTCTCTGCCCACGTCCATGCCTGCACCTACACTGGCTCACGGGGCTGTGGGCACTGATGAGTGCGGAATCACAGGGCAGACTAGACGGACTTTCAGGCACTGAGGCTGAAGCGCACAAGGTGGCGGGCTGGAAACAGGCGGGCTCTGGGCTGCAGCCTGGAGAGCGGCATTTCTCCTCCCGGAAGCACCCTTTCAGCTCTGAAGGCCTCCGACCGACTGGGTGAGGCCCACCCATGAGGGGCAGGCAATCTGCTTTCACTAAAGTCCACTGGTTACAGCATTAATCACGTCCAAACATTAACATCACTGCAACAGCCAGATGGTGTCTGACCCAGCAGCTGGGCACGTGGCCCGGCTGACACTGACATGACCCGGGAAGTCCCCACCCCGGGGGCCATGCATGCCCACCACTCCGTGACCAGGCTGCCATCTCTCCAGCCCGCAGATGCCCAGGAGGGCTTGGAAATCTTGTTCTCCAGGAACAGTGATGCTCCCAGGGTTCGCCCTTTCGTTTCCCGTCTGAGGAGTGCCAACTACCCACAGCACGCTGGCCCAGGCCCCTCGCTAGGGTGCTTGGTTATCTGCACCCGCAGTTCACTCTCCTCCTTTCTAAAACTCCAAAGACATAAGCCCAGAAACGAGGGCCGCACAGCACCTGTGTCTCCACAGAGCTCTGGGAACCGGAGGAGGCAGCATGAAGGGTCCACAGCCTGGCCACTCGCACCCGTCCTGCGGCAGACGTGGCCAGGCTGGGCTGCAGCCTCACGGAGAGTGAACCCGGGGACTCGGCAGAGGGGACGGCACGGTCCCAGTGAGCACCCAAGGACGGTGGTCTGGGCAGCCCCCAGCCATGAGCCATCATAACAAACTGGCAGGACAGTGTGGGACCCCCGCCATCACCAACCACCTCGGACCCCACACGAGGCAGCCACAGGAAGGGAAGGGAAGGCCCCGGGGCACTGAGGCGGAGCACCTGTCAACCCGGGCAGGGCGGGGTCCTGCGCAAGGCCAGGCTGGGCCTCAGGACACACAGGGAGGGAAGCTCAGGCCCTCCTTCAGCCTGGGCCCCCCACACACTGAGTGGCAATGGGCAGCGGTGACCACAAACCCCTTCCTTCTGTCACCCCTGCCATGGCGCGGAGGCCACTGTGCAGCCACGGCTCCCCAGCCCTGCACGGGTCTGATCCAGCCATTCAGGGCCGCAGCTCAGGGCATCTGTGCAGGAACAAGGGGAGGGGACCGAGCGCCTCCCGCTGCCCCGGGGCTGCTGGCTGGGGCTCCGGGAATCTTGCAGCCAAGGAAGCTCCCATCTTCAGCCCTGATAGACTCAGGGGACCCTGATCCCGGCCCGAGCCCCAGACCCAGGATGAGGCAGGTGTTCATTTCCAAGTAAAAAGCCACCCAGCGATTCAAGATGGCGGCGTGAGAGGTGAGACGTGGAATTCCTCCCAAAACCACAGATAGTATGAAAATGTAGTTAATTGATACAACTAACCCTGGGGCAACAACAGGAAGGAGGGCTGAACCAGACTGCACGCAGACCTCACGAACAGAGCAGACCTCACGAAACAGAGTAACATAAGAAAGCCTTAATCAGACTTACTTGGAAAAATACAAATTTGAGAATGCAAAAACTTCAGATTTTTGGGCAGCACTTGAAGGGGCAAGTAATTTACCAGTGAAAGAGGTAATGGACACTTGGACAGAACAGATGGGCTATCCTGTTCTTAATGTGAAAGATATGAGGAACATCACACAGAAACGTTCTCTGTTGGACTCAAGAGCTAATTCTTCTCAGCCACATTCAATTCTTGGTTACACATGGAATATTCCAGTTAAATGGACTGAAGATAATGTAGCAAGTATTACACTCTACAACAGGTCAGAAGCAGGAGGAATCACTTTGAACTCTTCTAATCCTAGTGGAAATGCTTTTCTCAAAATAAACCCAGATCACATTGGGTTTTATCGCGTAAATTATGAAGTGCCAACTTGGAACTAGATAGCTACCAATCTTTCCTTCAACCACAAGGGCGTTTCTTCTGCTGATCGTGCAAGTCTCATTGATGGTGCCTTTGCCTTGGCAAGTTCCCTAGAGGTGGGCAGGTGGAAACCTCTGAAGTACGTCTGGTCCATTAGCCCAACTTCTTGGTTATAAGGTGGCTCTGAACCTTACCACGTATCTCAGAACGGAAGAGGATTTTTTTACCATGGCAGAGAGTCATTTCAGCTATAACTTATACCATTAGCATGTTTGAGGATGATAAAGAACTATACCCTATGATTGAGGAATACTTCCGAGGTCAAGTGAAACCCACTGCAGATTCTCTGGGATGGAATGATACTGGAAACCACATCATCAAGTTACTCCGTGCCTCTGTGTTCGGGCTTGCATGCAAGACGGGAGACAGAGAAGCCCTGGACAATGCTTGCCGGTCATTTGAGCGGCGGCTAACTGGGACTGTGAGGCTTCCTGTAAATCTCAGGCTCCTGGTGTATCGTCACGGAATGCAGAACTCTGGGGATGAGACTCCATGGAACTACGTGCTTGATCAATACCAGAAAACTTCATTAGCTCAAGAAAAAGAAAAACTTTTGTATGGATTAGCATCAGTGAAGAATGTTACTCTTTTTGTCAAGGTATCTGGACTTGCTCAAGGACTCAAACCTTATTGAAACTCAGGATGTGTTTACAGTCATCCGAGATATTTCATCTAACAGCTATGGGAAGAACATGGCCTGGAATTGGATACAGCTCAGCTGGGAATATCTAGTCAACAGATAGAAACACCATAAGACAATGGTTTTTTGATTTACCTAGGAATGGCTAATGTTTTCAAATATCATATTTTAATTTTGTAAACCTATTGTTTCTCCTATTAAACATTTGGTGGCTTAATTTAAAAAAAAAAAAGCCACCCATATTGTTACTCCACATTTACTCAGTGATTAGCATATAATCATTCCGAAACACTGTAATTACGGGTGACACTTCCACGTTAGCAGGAGACTACGCTTGGTGTTTGTGCTGTTTGGTGTGACTTGGGTGTCGGCCGCTGTAAACACAAGAATGTAACTGTCACAGGAGCAGCAGAAGGTCCCGCCGGGTCCACTTGGCTTCCTGGACATCTGCCGGGACAGCACAAACCAGGGGACCAGGGAAGGGTGGGGCGAGAAGCCAGGCGGACAGGGGCTGGGCTCGCGTGGCCACAGGGCTCCTCCAGGTTAATGCCCAATTTGACAGTCCCTCAGCCAGGCCTCCAGTGGGCAGCCCCGAGATGCAAGGTGGGCAGGGCAGGCCCCGGGGCCCGGTGGACGAGAGGACCTGGCCGCGATGAAGGCCACCCAGGGCCTCAGGGTGACCTGTGCAGCCAGGGCTCCTCAGCCCTGCACGGATCTGCTCCTGCCACTTCAGGGCATCTGTGCAGGAACAAGGGGAGGGACCGAGCGCCTCCCACTGAGTGCGCAGCCCGGCAGCTGCTCCCACAGGCCAGCGCAGGGTCGGTGGCCACTCATCATCACCCCTTCTCTGGGCCAGAGTCCACACAAGTGCTGCCCATGCCTCTGCATGCTCCCAAGTCACTAATTTAGCGCCTGCTGTGTGTGGGCCCTGGACAAAGACATGGGGACACCAGACCTGCCAAAAGGCACCCCACATCTCAACCTGCCCCTCCGAACCGCCCACGCCAGGTGTGGCCCCAGCCAGGGGTGGGCACCCTGCTCTCTGGATCTGGGGGGATGTCCTTCACTGGTGGGTCCCTGAAACCAGCAGTTCCCCCACCTGGCTGGGCAGCAGGACACCCGGGGCTCTGGCCGGTTTTCACAAGCACCAATCTGGTCACTTCCATCTGGGGGCTCTGTTCTTGGTGGGGCAAGACCTCCCGCCGCTGTGGGGCCACCCCTTCCTTGGTATGTCCTGCAGGCTCCTGACAAACTAGGCCACGGCGAGCACAGGGAGTTCTGAGTAAATGCAGAGAACTGGTTCTACGAGCAAAATATTACCATTTGTCCAACATAATTATTTTCTTGGAAACAGCTGGTGATAAATAAGGCACATTATAAATATGATTTTGTGCACCGAATTTCATCTCTCCACCCTAAATTAACATGCTAGGATATTGCCCTTTAAGTGTACAGACATTTAAAATATATATTTCATGATATCCAAGTTATTTGTCATAACCTCCAAGAGGAAAAAACAAAAATAAGAAGAATGCCACAGTCATTTAAACACTTCATCACACGACCACATTCAAATATACCAGCCCCTCTGCACTGCAGCCACGGGAGCTTCCGCCACGGAGCCGCTTCCACCCCTGCTCACCTCACAGACAGAACAGGGGGTCGCCAGATAAGGTCCCAAGTGACGCATCTGTTGTGCAGATAAACCAAGAAAGTCATGAAAAGATCGGGGATTTGGGAGCACATCTCAGGCTCAACAGTGCTGTTTATCATTGTTGACACAGAATTGATGCCCAAGGTCTGACCACGGCGACGGCGGGACCACACAGCTGATGACAAACATCTCCCGCCGGCAGGTGGCCTCTGTTCACAGCCACTGTGAAGGTGCCATTGTGGGCAAAACTACAGTATTTCCAGCATCTCTCGCCTGGCCTCAGTGCATCTCCATATCAACAGGTGTTTCTAAGGGGTGGAGCAGAGGCAGCCGCCTCTGTGTCAACAGGTGATACCAGGGGAGCGAGGGCGCATCTGCACGGAAATCTGGGTGGGGCCCTTTTTTGCGGCCGGATCAGGAGAGACACAGGCAAGCAGAAGTGGACGACTGCTTATTTATAAGCTGTAAATGGGTTCTCCCACTTTATTTCTCCTTTGCCTGATTTTGGCTTCAAAGTATTTTGCCCAGGGCTGGGAACACATTTTTCCCCCGGAGTTACAGCCATGAAATCTGAAAGTAAGAGTAAAATGTGGCACCCCGCCCACGGCTGCAGTCGGGCAGAGGAGGGGGCACAGACGCAAACGGCTGGCCCGCCAAGTTCCATCTTCCCAGGGTGACCTTTGTGGCCAAGTTTAGTTGGGACAGGCAGAAAACTGCAGGTTTTCAAAATAATATGCTACATTAATTTTACATGATTTCAAAAGTACTGTAACAGCGCAAAGTAGAAGAACCCGATGGCCAGCTCAGTCCGATAATGGCCGCGCTTTCCAGGGTGTCACACGTGTCCTTGTGTGACACAAACCAGGCTCAGTCCCAAGAGGCCTCCCTGCTCAGCACAAGGGGCCGGCGCTGCCCTGGTCACACCCCACACCCCAGAAGCCCTGCACACAGACTCTGACCTCCCCAGGCTGGCACAGGCCGACTCAGGGCCGGGCACTGGAGCTCTGCCCCCAGGGCCTCCTGGGGGCGACCACCCCATCCCACCAGCCATACAGTCTCTCCCCAGACCACAAGGAGGCTGGGATGTGGTCCAGAGGAGTCATGGGCTCAGCGGCCAGCCTTCCCTCTGTGCACCGGGGGCCACCACACCCCAAGTAGGAAGGACTGGGGTTCCAGCAGAGCCCTCACCAGGAGGCAGCCACCCACTTTTGAGATCCATGAGCCGAGATCTCAAAAAATACTAACGGAACAGCCAAAAGCTAGTTTCACAGCCTCACTTCACCAAATCAGCCCCTAATCTTTCCACAGGGAAGCCTTTCAAACACGCCTCCCCGATGCCCTCTGGGAATGTCCCCAGGCCAAAGGGTCCCCAGCAGTTCAGGCAAGGGAGCTAAGAAGGTTCCTTCCCGACAGCTGGGAGCCCCTCGTCCCCACAGAAGCACCTGAGGGCTGTTCCTCAGCGGGGCCCCTGCCGGGCAGGCTCCAGGGGTGCAAGCCCACATCCCCGGGGCAGCAGCTCCTGAGAATGAGCTCCCAGAGGCCACTCCTCGCCCGAGGGAGAAGGCTCCACCAGCCGTGGGGTCATCACACATGAGAAAGACGAGTGAACCTCTGCAAATCACAAACATGTGAGGAACACCTGTTTGCGGACACGCATCTACCCTGAGGCCTCTCTGCCAGGGGCTGTAGAGTGAGCCAGCCTCCCGCAGACACAGGCAGGGCCGCCTGGTTGAAATTCATGACTTTAATTTAACAGGCATGGAGGCCTGGCCCCCAGTGTTGACGTGTCGGCTGTATGTCTCGGTAAGAAACACTCGCAGCTGCAGTCCACACGGCATCTTGAACCTGCACCAGAGAGAAACCCTTAAAACGGGCAGAAACCTCTGAGAGGCGAACGACAGACAAGCACCCTCCAGACCTGGCGTCCTCACCCTTCGTCCCTGCAGACAGCTGGGGGGCAGAGCAAGGGCAGGGCACGAGCGACCCCCTGGCAGGTCCCTAGTGCACAGACCCCGCCAGCCCCTGTCCAATTCCACTTCTTGCTGTTCCCAGTGGACACAGATGGCCAGGGGGATTATGATCGGTAACGACTATGGTCGTGGCGAGAGCCCAGCTGCCACAGCCTCCTGATGAGCAGCGTCCACACCATGCCTAGGATCCCAGGTATTGCTGGGCCTGCGTTTGGCCACGGAAGCCAGGGGGATGCCCCCTCACCCTGTTCCGCGTGGGCAGCACCATTCAGGCCTCCACTGCCTGAACACCCAGTAGCTGTCCAGAGACTGGCCTATTGGAGCGCGTGAGGCCCAAAGGGAAGTAGCCCGAGTGGACGCCCCTTCTCACCTGGAAGCGGGGTCGGTGAGCCCAGGGATGCAGCCGACATGCTCAGCACTGAAGACGGCCTGTCAACTGAGCCCTGCCTTCAGGAGGGCTCCCGGTGGGCACCACGGCCTGGACAGCAGACTCGCCACCCCCAGTGTGCCAGACCCTCCGGAGGCTGAGGTGCAGGGCGGAGTGGCCAGACGCGGCCCCAAGCCCCTCAGGCCGTGGCTCTGGGGACCGCGGGTGGAGGAGGGCACCGGGCAGCCATGAACATGGAGGGAGCTGGCTGGACAGGGCAGGGAGGAGAGACGCAAGAGGCACGCAGAGGGGCTTCCTCGTGGCTTGTCAGCAATGACTACCCGTGATGCTCCGAGGAGAGAGCGGGTGGGGGGAGCCGCGCTTCACTTACACGTCCCTGCGCAGCTCCATTGCTGTCCTGTGTGTACCTTAGCGATTTTTTAAATAGGGCCACTCTGAGCAGTGAATTATGAGCCACAACCTCTTCTTCTTAACACTTTTATGATTTGGGAAAACAGGTAAATGCCATTTCCTGCCTCAGGGCTTTGGAGTGGGAGCTGGAAGGCGGAGGCCCCAGGGGACCCCAGGGCGCTCCCCAGGAACCTGGGCCCCTCTGCCCGACCCTGCCTCTGGGAACACACAAGCTGTCCCCTTATCTGCAAACCTGAGGAGCCCCTCCAGCCTGCAGCACCAGGCTGGGGTCCAGCCGAGACCAGGAGCTGCCCCAGCACGAGCAGGCGCCCACAGCCTCTACTCTGGGAAGGGAAGTAGAGGGGAAGGGAGGCAGAGGCCAGTGTTTGGGGAGCTGAGGGCCGGGTGGGGCTGTGCCTGCTGAGCCCTAGGGGAGGCAAGTCAGACGGGGACAGGGGTGCCTGGGGACCTGGGCTCCACGTGCAGCTGAGAGAGGGCAGTCAGCTGGAGCAGGTGGAGACCCAGCAGAGTGCAGGGCGGGACCCCTGCCTGCTTGGAGAGGGGGCAGCCCTGGTGGACCATGGGCAGGGGGTCAAGAACGGGGTCCCTGCAAACCAGAGAAAGCCCATCACCCATCAGCCACACACAACCCAGCCCCCAAACACCACCAAGCTCGGAGAGGGGCAGTGCCACACGGCTGCCGGG